CAAGCGGCACTGTTGTTGGCAGTTTGAGTGATGGCAGACTAGCCATAACTACGTAGCTTTACTGTGGTCAGTATATAGCAGCCGAGAGCGGTGGACAAACTGAGCCCGTTGAAGGGAGGATCTTGTTGGAATTAAGGGAGCTGTCGAGGAGTCTAAGGGTGGTGTCTGGCTTTAGTTTGACCAAATTATTGCTGGTTGGATGCCATTGCGGGGCCCTCAGGCGAGTCAAGATATCAAGGCCCTCTCTTGCGAGTCTTAGAGCACCCTCCTTGGATCTGAGAGACTGAATCCTTCTTCTTCTGCCTTTCTAAGTCTAAGTCTAGTCTATTGGTTCTGAGAGGAAGGCGGCAGGCGGGATTGCAACCCGTAATTCGTGCCAACGCCTCTGTGGGAGGTTCGCCCCACCGATTGCGGGAGCTCTGCCGGAACTCAGGAGGAGTTCTGGAGGCAGGGAACTGAAAGGTAACCTTCCATTTCCCTCTATAAACCCAGTTATAACCCCTATCTGTATTTCCCATTGCATCTCTGACTAAGTATATGGTGTGCAGCCTTACTTTGACTTTTGTTTGACTCTCAGGACGCTGACTCAGACTAAGTAAAGGAATGTCTGCTCAATTTCAGTTTCAGCTTTATTGATTGTATGAAATCAGATTGCTAAAAGAAATTGCATCTGGGGAAGGCAGGATGGAGGGTTGTTTTGCTTGAGGGCTTGATTGGGTCATTAAGACTGGGAGGTCCCCATAAGTTTGGGGAAACCCAATGCTGTGATTTTGCATGGAGGGTCAGGCTGTTCTATAAGTTTAGGTGGCCTGACTGCTCTGACTGGAGAGGGCTGACTGCGGATGACTTTTCAGGGACCAAGTGCATTCTGTAAGTTCAGGTGCCTTGGTCGCCTTGTTTATTTTGGGTTTTCCCCTGTTTATTTAGTTCTGAACGAGGAGGTCTAAGTTGTTCTATAAGTTTAGGTGGCTTAGCCTCTTCCCGCTTTTATTCTGAGAAAGTGAACCTGACACAGGGCAGATCGTTCTGTAAGTCCAAGTGATCTGGCTCGATGCCACGCACAGAATGCCCAATGCCACGCACAGAATGAATCAGAAAGAAATTAATCAGGCAGAGAGTCAGACCGTTCTGTAAGTTCAGGTGGTCTAACTCAAAGCCTCGCACATGCTGGAACCCAATGGTTACAACTTGGCTATATTTTATTATTATTATATTTATGAACGAGCTAATCAGACTGTTCTATAAGTTTAAGTGGTCTGACTATAGCCTATCACAACTTGAAGAGAGTATAATTAAGCATAAAATTGATGGTAAGCTGGGGCAGACTGAACTTAAGTTAGTTCAGTCATATGCAGCCTTAGAAGACAAAGGGAAGACAGATATATATAACTTGGATACTTTAAACAGTTCAGGGCGACTAGAGTGGTCTAGTCATGTGCCCAAAGACGAGAGAAGTAGTTGTGCCCTTTGTTTGTGTATATTCATTGGCTAAGTTAGGCACATTCCATAAGTTTGGGTGACCTGACTTTATGCCTTATGTAAGCTGGGTATAAAGGGTTAAATTACTGAAAGATCGTGAACTATTGTTTGCCCAGATGAGCTTGGGTTGGTAAGAGTACTTACCTTTGTGGTTTGGCTTGCATGTGGATGAGTAAGATCACTACTTTGTCGGAGTTTCAGCTGGATAGGTAGTTGCTTTAGTTGCTCGCCATGTGCTAGAGTGATAGGAGTTAGTTTCAATTCCTGCATTTTCTGTAGTAACTTCTTTTTACTTAGGTCAATTCTTGCATTTTCTGGGATCATTTTTTGTACTTGGCTTTGTATAAATCTTGGCAAGCTACTTTCTCTACGGGAAGCACTGCCGAAATTTTTACAAATCCAAGTAGTCAATTTTTGACTTGTCAGAGTTCAACTTATCTTTTCTTAATATCTGACCCAGTAAAAATCTGAAGAGTCTCCTTTTCTAAAGGGAGTGCTGCCCAAATTTTTGCTAATTCAGAGAGTTAGACAAAATTGAACTTTGAGAAGGCAAAGTTATTCTCAAATTCTGGACTCAGCTTTGTATAAATTTTGGAAAAACACTTTTCTAAAGGGAGTGCTGCCAAAATTTCTGCAATTAGTTAAATCTTGTCTAAGTTAAACTCAAGTTGACTTTTGAGTTCATATCTGACTTAGTATAAATCTGGGAAGTCTCCCTTTCTAAAGGGAGTGCTGCCCAAATTTCTACTAATTCAGGGAGTTAGATAAAATTTGACTTTCCAGAGTTAAAATATTATTTCTGCTTTCATATTTGGACTTATATAAATTCTGGAAAGACACTTTTTATACGGGAAGCGCTGCCGAAATTTTCTTAGTTTAAAGGAGACAAATTATATTTTGACAGGTGGCGATTCTGGTAGCCCACTCTGAATAGGGGAAATTTGGCCATGAGTCTACCTTTCTTTAGGCACTTGCTTAGAGGTAGGCTTAAATATAGTTAACTAGGATGATTTGAGTAAGATCATGATATGGAGATTGTTCTCCATGGACTTATAGGTTTAGCCTGGGGCATTGACCTATCATGTGTTACAGGTCCTCTTGATCGTTTGATTCAAGTTCAGGACTAGATTCAGCTTGGTCCCTTGAGGATCATCTTCTGTTATCACTGATAACAGGTCGGTTGCCGACTCGTCGGTTTACGATTCAACTCCAATCCACTCCTGTCACTCAACCTAAAGGTTTTAGCCCTGTGGTTTGAATTGTTTCATTGTGTTTTCACCCGGACTTCATTGAATGGCCATTTAACGAAGTTACTGAGTATTTTATTGCTGGGAAGGTGCCCTGAGGTTGGGGTTTGTATGGCTAAAGCAAGGGGTATGAGGGCAAGGAATGGTTGAAGTTGACCTCGTGTAGTGTAGTGCGTGGACTCTTGTTGGATCTTTGATGTGATTGCAGGTATGTTTGTGGTTCATACTTTGGATGTGACTGCTTGCGATTACATACATATATGGCTGAGAGGAGCCCCACTGTGACTGTGATAAGTGATCGTCCTATATAAATAAACCCTATGTATATATTTGTATGTGTCTTGGATAGGCGCGCGACTTATAGTGATCGTGCGCAAGGGTTAACCAGATTATGGCTTGAGAGAAAAGGAAGGTCCTCCTTTATCCTTTGCTTTTTGGAGATTTTTATGGTTGGATGTTGTAGTCCGTGGCAGCCGTCAAAGTCAAACCCCTTGACTTTTGTCCCGGCCTGGAGTAGGGCTCATCTCCAGGACAGTAAGAAACGACTACCACCACAGGTATGGACCTGTATACCACCCACTCTGCACAGAGTGCAGAAGAGGGTGTGTGGTCTTCAACCGCGCTTGGCGGTTGTCCAGCGTCGAGAGATTAACCCTCAAGGTGTGTGTCAGCCGACACTTGAGTGTTGAATGCGACCCTCGAGATTAACGAGGACCGCATGAGTTTGGGTACTACATGGTACGCCATCCTTGCAATTGCTTGCGTACGCTTGCATTGCGAATCGATATGAGTTAGCCCTGTGTTCGCGCGGTTTTATATTGAGTCTCACGTGCGACGCCTATCCGATTTCTGCATCGGAAAGTTATGGGTTGGCTACCGAGAGGCTAGGAGCGTTGTCGAGTTGTTTGTGTTGTGTCGTTTCCTGTGTGTGTGTGCATTTTATTTTCGCGTTCGCAGAGTGGTGTATGTGTGATGTGTGGGATACGTCCTAGTCGACCGACGACGGGCCGCGCTTGGGACTTCGACCCCCCCAGTTGACGGTTCGCGTGCGGGTCCGATAGAGGCGTATTACCGCGCGTACCCCCTATGCTACAACGAACGAGAAACGCTCTCGGCTGGTCCACCTCTGCAATTGCAACTGATTAGCTTTCGTATTGTGGACTGGTAGCTCGGCGGGGATACGCCCACCGAAGGGAGGTGACAGCTCCCGTAAGGTGGAGGKAAGTCGTGCCTCGCGTAGGCCCTATCCTATCGTAGGGGTTCGCGGGAGGTATGGCTGGCGCACTCAGCCGGAGCGGCTTGCGGAAGCTCCATGTATATTTGCGAGGAAGGTGTAGTCCAACTCCTGCGTGACGCGGCCGGGAGGGTCCCGCGCTGCCCCGTGCGGTGTCGGACCAATGCGCTCGACAGCGGGCAAGTCTTATATAGTGCTGGCCTGTCCAGGAGGCTGCTCTTGCAAATGCCAAAACGTGCCAGACCCTGGCGTTGAAGTTCAAACAAGGCCAAAAATGGCCTGTGCTAAAACCCTGGTCTGGTGCCTAAGTTTCAGGGCAGATCGATCTTATGAGGGCCCGAAAATGGCCCTCCGTTTCAGGCTGAAAAGACTTCCAGGCCCTGTTTTAGGCTGAAACGACATAGGGCCTGAAGGCCCTCGTTTTCAGGCTTTCCGGCTGAAATGACACAGGGCCTGTAAGCCCTTGTTTTCAGGCTTGTAGGCTGAAAACGACACAGGGCCTGTAGGCCCTTGTTTTCAAGCTTTTAGGCTGAGAACGCTGGTAGGGCCTTGCAGGCCCGTGTGGCTGCGCAATATGCCGCACCCCCCCCTCCTTGAAAGACCGAGCTTACCTGCGAGGGCGAAGCTGTCTGTCTGAGGGAGGGACCATAGTCTGGGTGGAAGGGGCAGGTCGTGAAGTTCCCTTAGCTAACCTTATTCGCTCATAGTGAGCGTAGATCAGCGGTGTGGAAGCTTTCAAATCTACTCCTGAAATCCATCAAGTGTCGTCGGGATCGGGATCGCATGCTTTGAATGTAACCTTATACTGTCGAGGCTTGTTGTGGTACTTGCGATCCGTGATGACGCGGTCAACTTCCTTATGACCATCTATAGATGGAGGATCTTGCGATCGTCGGCCCGGGAAATCGTCGCTCTTAGCTGGTGTATATGTTGCCAGCTTCGAGGCGTGAAAAACTGGATGGACCGTCAGATGCGGGGGGATGTTGATCACAAATGAGGGGCCATCGGGCTCATCGCCCGCGACTGATGTTACGGGCCATGGTCCAAACCACTTGGGAAGCAGTTTGCACGAAACATCCTGCTCGAGTTCAAACTCTTCCGCGGAGATCCACACCAGATCACCGACGCAGATGGGACATGGCACGTGACACCTGTTGGCTTGCTGCTGCATGCGAACTTGAGCCTTTTGCATGTTCGCGCGGGCTTGAGCCAATGATTCCCTGTACTTCCTTGGAAGCGAGGGAGCAAGCAGCGTCTATGTCGGTTGTTCGTGGGAGGAGAAGATCAGCGATGATAACGGCCTTTCCGACCACCGTGGTGCAACTCGAATGGAGTCACGCCGATCGCCGGATGCAACGAAGTGTTGTAGGCGAACTCGATGTCGAGGAGGCGGTCAACCCAATCCTTCTGATCCGGACGGATGAGCGTACGAAGCATCATTTGAGCGGTTTGCTGTGCTCGCTCCGTTTGCCTGTCCGTTTGTGGATGCCGAGCCGAACTTGGTTTCATCTTGGTGCCGGATTCCTGCATGAGAGATGTCTAGAATGCCGACATGAAACGAGTGTCGCAGTCGCTGATGATGTCTTCCGGTACGCCGTGGCTGCAAATCCAGCCGGTGTGCAAAAGGCGCGCAAGTTCGGGAGTCGTGACGTAGTACTTGCAAGGGAGAAATCGCGCATACTTACTCGAACGGTCAACGACCGTGAGGATGCCTTCGTGCCCGAGGCGGTCGAGGGGAAACGGACCGGTGACGTCCATGGCAATGGAGAGGCCGGGTTCCCATGGGATAGGCACCGAGGGCAACTCGCCGTAGGGATTGCGGTTGCGGGGCTTGCTTCTTCGACAAACTTCGCAAGAGTCACAATACCAAGTGACATTGGTAATGAGGTCGGGCCATTGGAATCGTTACCGAAGTCGTGCAATAGTGCGATTGACTCTGAAATGGCCAGCGAGTCGCGAGTCATGGTACTCGCCGAGAAGCCGAGTCCGAAGACGACGGTCTCGTGGGACACATAGTAAGTCCTTGCCTCTCAAGTGGAGGAGCAAGTACCCGTCGACGATGCGATAGTGGCTGGCTGATCCGAAGAGAGCTGCGCATACAACGTGGCGAAATCCGGATCGGACTCATAGCCCCGGATGATGTGTTGCTGGAGTTCCTCGTCGTATGCGAAGGCATGATGTGTAATAGCGCAAAGATCGGGTCTTCGTGAGAGTGCATTTGCTGCGCGATTGGAGAGGCCGACGAGATGTTTCGGTGTGAAGTCAAATTGGTCGATGAAGTACATCCATCGTCCGATCGTGCTGCTCACTATATCCTGTGTCTTATAGTAGGTCAACGGGTTGTTGTCCGTGACCCATGTGAACCTACGATGCCCAAGGAGGAAGTGCCGCCTTCGCTAGAGAGCCATTATGAACGCGAGCAGCTCCTTCTTCCTTGCATCATCAAGTGAATTGATGGGAGGCACTTTGTGGCTCAAATACTCTACGGGGTGTCAGTCGTCGCCCTCGTGTTGTTCCAAGACTGCCGCAATGCCATAGCCGGAAGCGTCAGTTGTCACTCTCGTTGGCAGGGTGGGGTCATAGATGCTAAGGACGGGTGCCATGAGCATGGTCGTCTTAAGTGCTTGGAATGATTTGCGTGCGTCGTCATCGACTACGAATGGCACCTTGGGCGATTGTAATCTCGTCATTGGTGTGGCAATCCTTGAGTACCCGGTGCTGAAGCGTTGATAGTAGCCCGCCAACCCCATGAATGAGCGAACGTCTGTGGTGCTGGTGGGCTCGGGCCATACGCGGATGGCCTCGATCTTGTCCGCAAGCGGACGGATGCCTTGCGGCGTTACATAATGTCCCAAGTACTCCAGCTCTTGCCGCGCGAATTCGCATTTGTCATGGTTGGCTTTGTACTTGGCTTGTCGTAGCAGCTCCAAGACGGTGCGCAGGTGCTCCACATGCTCGTCCAAACTCCAGCTGTACACCAAGATGTCGTCGAGGTAGATGAGAACGAATCTATCTAGCATGTGTCGGAACTCCGTAGTCATAGCCGCTTGGAATGTGGTCGGGGCATTCGTAAGGCCAAAAGGCATAACCAGCCATTCAAAATGCCCATATCGCGTCTTAAACACGGTCTTGTAGCGGTCCTCCTGCCGGATCTCGAGTTGGTGATATCCCGATTTGAGGTCAAGCTTGGAGAAGAACTTGGCGCCGCCCAGCCGTTCGAGGAGGTCGTCGATGCGAGGAGGAGGGCCGACGTTCTTGGCGGTTTGCGCGTTGAGCTTGCGATAGTCGATGCACACCCGCAAATCCCTGTTCTTCTTCTAGACCAAGAGAACGGGAGCAACGTATGGCGAAGAGCTAGGCCGAATCGAACCTTTCTCGAGAAGGTCGTCGAGTTGTGCCCATAGCACACTTAACTCTTCCTCGCTCATGCGGTAGATGCAACCACGCGGAGGTTCGACCATGACCTCGAGGATGATCTCGTGGCGAATGGGCCGATCTGGTACTACTCCGTGTGGCGCTTCGAACACGTCGCCGTAGGCATCGAGAAGCTCGGTGATGCGTGGGTCCATCCGGTACTACTTCGTGCGGCGCTTCGAACACGTCGTCGTAGGCGTCGAGAAACTCGATGATGCGTGGGTCCGGTGATGAGTCCATCGATGGAATGTCATGGGGCGGAAGGGCGCGGAGAAAACACACCCCCATCTCCTCGATGTCATCCCGAATAATGGAAGCTCGAATGCTCGTGGCGGACACCACATGGCAGCTGATCGAAGGGTGAGGAGGAGGCACCATGCATGGGACTAGTACTCCGTTCCGATCACGAACGTGAACGGTGCGGCGGTAGAAGTTCACCGGGTGATCCTCGCTTCGCAGCCATGACATGCCCAAGATCATGTCGAATTGAGTGTCCAAAACGTCGAAGGACACGCCCTCACTTGCATGCGGGGCGAAGTACACGATGACGGAATCAATGCATCGGTCGATTGACTTGTGCGTTTGACCGTCGACCAACGTGACTTGCGTAGGCTGCGACTTCCTCCAAACGCGTGGCCCAAGGCCAACGCGTACCATAAAGTCTTGGCTCATGTAGTTGCGAGTAGCTCCGCAATCGATCAAAGCGTTGCAGGTCGCCTCTCCGATCTGAATGCGTATGTATAACAATGGTCCGTCGATGTCGTCGTACCGTTGTGTCTTGAACTCGCGGTCGATCTTCGCAACGTAGCCGTGAAGGTCGACAACCTCTACTCCGGCGTCCATCAACGGAGCTGGTACTGCAGTGTGCAAGYAATCCCGCAATTGCGCCATGAGCACGTTGCAATGCGGTTTCGACAATCGACCGGATAGGGGAAGGGGCATCCATTGGAAGTCCGCAAACGTCAACGGGTCGAGCTCTTCAAGTTTTGACCATGACGTCAAATCGCCGGCGATAGATGGCAGCGAAGCTGCCGAATCGGTTGCCGATGGTGGTGAAACCGTGCATGCGGTGAATTGTTGCACGTGGAGTGGTTGGTCCAACGGTGGGACCAAGTGGACAGCATAATCCTCGTAAGTGAACTGAGGACTTGCGACGTTCGCATCCTCCCCAGATGTGTAGGAGGCCGCTGGCAAGGCAGCCGAATCTGGCGGAGTGAGAGGTGGAGTCGCCTCACCTCCCGTGCAACTCAGTTTCTCGAGTTGATGCGAGGCCGAACATCCTCCTTGCTTTGATCCGGGCATAGGGAGGTCTTGTGCTTGGTGTTGTTGCACCAATAGCAGCAGCCATACCGGGCGCGCCACTTGTATTCGGCCTCGGTCAAGTGAAACTTTACCCATGGTGCTGGTTGTCCGTTTTCGGCCGGCGATGCGGTTTTCGCCTTCTCTTTTCCTCGGGAGTTGTTGTTGCTTCGCGGCTGGACAGTGGCCACCTGATCTCCCTCATGTAATGCTTGGGTGGCTGCCGGGTCTTCCACAATGTTGTCCGGTTGGACTGCAGCGACATGCTGTCCACATAGGTTGGTTGCCTTGCTGACTTCTTGTGTGCAGCCGCCCTGTTGGTCTTGATGATCTCCCTTGCCTTGTCGATGATTTCGGCGAAGGTCGTGTATTACTCACGATCACCAAGTGCGAGACTCAAGGCGGCACATGACCGGTTGTAGAACTCTTGGCGCAGATGTGAAAATGGCAACTCGAGATCGGGCGTTGCCATGATCTTTTGCCATTCCGTGAGCCAGTCAAGTGTTGGTGTGTTGCCTTGGGTCATGTTGAAGAGGCGGTTGATGGCGAGCGTTGGTACGTCATCCACGATGAACCGCTTCTTCCATAGCTTCGTCAACTTGTCCCAAGAGATCTTCTTATGTAGATCGGCGACTTGGACGCCGTGGATGGTTGCCAGGTGGCTGAGTCAGATCTGGCATCCGCCCTTTGAGCTGAGGAACAGCGCGGCGATGTACGAGTGCTCGGGGACGAAAAGAATCTGAAGTTCCATCGTAAAGCCCTCCCACCAGGGGACCGGGTCTTGATGTGTATAATCATCGAACTTTTAGATGCGGAATGTCAGCATCTTGTAGTGCTGTGCACTGGTGTTGCCATCCTTGTTGGGCAGCTGGTGCAGTTGCTGAACCTCGGTCTTCAAGGTGTGCAGCTGCTTGCTGATGGTGGCTGGTGCAGCGAAGGTGCTGATGTCGTCGAACATTGCGACTACGTGGTCAACTCGTTCCTCCAATTGGCGGGTAGAGGGTGCACTGTTGGACTCGCTAGCATCTGGTCTTGGTGCAACTTGCTCCAAGTCCTGTACACGGGAATCAAGTGCCCGTGTAGCATCCTCGTGCAGATCCTTATGGTTCCGCACCGCCCGTCAGAGATTCACCAGCTCGGACTGCAGGTGGTTACAAGTGTAAACCAACCGGGTCATGAGTTTGGCAAGAAACTCCTTGTGCTGATCTTCCGGTGTCGCGTCTTCGTGGTGCTCGGATGGTTCAAAATGCCAGAACTTGAACTTGACCTTTTCGATGTTGGCGGCTTCATGCCGCTGTAGCAGATCCTGGGCCTCCTTGCAGCATGCCTGGTATCTGCATCTGCTTCGGCCTGAACCCACTGCTTTTCAGCTGCTGCCGCCGCTTCAGTCTGTAGGCGGGCAGCCTCTGCTGCCGCCTTATGCTGTTCCTCAGCCTCGATCAGTGCGAGTTGAGCTTGTAACCGTTGTCGGTACTCGACAATGGACTCATTGCCCAGTTGGCCTGGCATGCCCAGAACTGAGACCGTCATGGTGGCAGGGCACTGCTGACGTGGCACTACCAAGCCGGGAATGCAGGCAAAGGGTTGGGTGGGAGGGAAAACGCAGGAAGGGAACCAACCAAACTGTACTTTCCTCTCGGTTCTAATCAACAGAATAAAATAAAAATAAAAATATAAGAAGAGGATCACCCCCCCCCCCCTTTTTTTTTTGTATATCTGTCGATCTGCTATGAGTGAGGCATTTCAGAGGAGTGCTATGAGCGAGATCTAGGCAAGGTTCCGCAAAGTTTCGGCTTTCAAAAAAATGCGATCTTAAAAAAAAATTGTGCGAAATAGAATAGAGATGCGATTTTCAGAAAAGAACTAAATCCAGTTTCTCAGAATATGACAACCTCCTAATATGCCTAAAAACGAAATGCTGATAGGCTTCCCAAGATTTCGGTTTTAAAAAAAAAAAAATTGCGAGATAGAATGGAGATTCGATTTCCAGAAAAGAATAAATCCGGTTTCCGAGAATATGACCACCTCTATCGTTATCCAAATATGCCTAGAAAACGAAATGTTAACATCAGAAATTTTCGGCTATGTATGCAAGTATCAGAAATTTTCGGATGCTAATATCAGAGAATCGAAATGCTATTGTCAGAATTTTTCAGATATTTGTTGCATGAAAACGAAATGCTAATATCAGAAATTTTCAGAAAAACGAAATGCTATTCTCAGAAATTTTCAGATATTTGTTGCGAGAAAGAATTTTTTTTTTGCAGAGATTTGACGTAGTCCTACTTGATTTACTAATAAACAATCAATCAATCAATCAATCATTCAACAATCAATAGATCAAGCAAGTTGGCTACTTGATTGAGCGGGTCCTCTGATTGAGAGGTCCGCT